GCCTGAACCTGGCTGTCTGCCTTGTGGTTTTTATCCTCCATCACAGAGGTACCTGCTTGTCTCTCTCTAAGTCAGAAGTTCTGTATCATTGGTCTGCTGCCAGGTCAGTTATGACAAAAGAGAGTTAACTTTCTGTAAAGAGAAAATAACTGTTGAACAGGCAAAACTACATATTTTATATTGAATGTACATAATTGTAATTATATAATTATTATAGAATATTTTTATCAGAATTATATGCAGCACCAGTTCAGTTGGTTCAGCCATACCTGGTCATTAGAATTGGCCATACCTGGCAGTATAACTGGCTTTCAATAACAATCATCTGCTTATAATTAAAGTTAGTTCAATACCTTGACTTAGGTCAATTAATTTATTGATTAGGACTAGGAATATTATAAGCTTGGAGTAGAAGAATCATTTCTTGCACGGTTTTACACTGTTGGAGTGTTGCAATGCATTTAAAAAAGACATCTAGTAGATAAGGGTGATATTTAGGTAAATTTAATCTAACCTGAGCTCTGCAGAACTGCCTTGTTGATCTCAAAAGCAGGAACACAAAGCTGTCATTGCACCAGAGCAGCAGCAACTGAACTCTGAAACACGTGAGGATGATAATTACCTTCAGCCTCTCCCCATGGATTCTGGCTTCTGACAGGACTCCCACCAATGGATAGAAACGTTGTGCTAGTAATGAAAATGACCTGGGTTTGTAAAGGGCTTTTTGGTTTTTAGGGCTGTCTGTCCCGGGGTTGTGTTCTGTTCCAGCAGCAGCCCAGGAAGGGCTGTGGGAGCCCAGGGGACCAGGCTGGGTGGAGGCAGGAGGAGGAAGGTGCTGGAGAAGGTCAGGAGGAGCCAGGGTTGCCTCTCCCAGCCCAGCCATGAGCCAGGGCCGGTTGGTGGGGCACAGGAAGGGAAGCGGCTGAAGGTGTTCGGAGACTTAAATCATCACAGCTGCCTTTTTCCACCCGGTTTTGTTCTGCCTCCTCTGAATTCCGACACCTACACAGTGCTCTGTCTTTTCAAAACAATGTTGGAGTTCCCGACATTGAACTCTGCAAACAAGTGTGTTCTCAATTAAGGGAAGAACTTCTCCTGCCCCCCCTGCTCCATCCCAGCCTTGGCTCAGATGTGCCGGCCTCCAGAGGAATCACACCAGCACATTTTTCATAAGGTTTCCCCCTCCCAAAATCCCATTGAATGGCTGTTTCTTATAAACCAATGGAGATAATTTCATGGCTTTTCCCTTTCATGGCCACCCACCTCCTCTTCCCAGCTAGCTTTGATATAAAAAGACAAATCCTTTCCCATTCACATCAAAAGCAGGAGGGTCGCCCTGTGTCACCTACCCTGGGATTTTGACTCAAGCTTTTGGAAAAAAATTAATGGAAAGAGCAACTTGGTTTTAACTCCACCACAGTGTGTGTCACCAAGAGTTTTCAGGGTCATTGACAGATCAGTTTCATAGACCAAACAGATAAATAGGCACGAGTTATTCTTTATTATTATTGTTCATAATTTGTTCATGCCATAAGTGTGCTGAGTGCACGGCAGGGATACCAGCCCTTCCTCAGGGAACACAGGGTCTAAGCTGGACATATGTTTTGTATATTTTCAGTGTGTATTCAGGCACCTCCAGCACTGGATAGGCACTTTCAAAAACAAATTTGAAGTAATAACAATAACATGCTGAGTGATAACAACAGGCATGAGGGTGAGAGGAGGACGAGGGTTACAAAAATAAAGATCATGTGAATTGTTTGCTTTATGTCACACATGAGGCTTGGGATCTCTCTGTTTTTCTTTTTCTTTGAATGCTTTTGTCATTCCTTTCTCTTTGGCAAGAAAAGCTGACAGACTTCAGGGGCAGAGGAATTGCTGCTGGAGTGAAGGAGCAATGAGGCAGAGGAAAGGGGCTGCTCCTGCTGATACCTGAGAAACCTCTGGCCTTGCTGCAGGCTGAGGGCTGACTTAGAGAAGGGGAAAGAAAATCTGAACACAATTTCTACCATCTCTGGTGTATGAGGCTGTCCCTAGTATGAGGCTTAACACTGATTTTCTGAGGGTTAAAACTAGAAATACCTTTCTTTGTTCTTATTCCAGATGCCTCGAACAATTGTGGAGGTTTGTGAAAGCAAGAGAAAAACTGAGTGAAGTTCCCAGGACTCAGCACTGATATTTCAGTGCTCATTCTCAGCACATTTACCTGGTTCTACATGTACCTGGTGTCCTTTCCTGAATCTGCTCAGTGCTTGGAGCAATCCCTGCATATGGTGGATGTTTCTAAGACACCTTTAGCCCCAGACAAGTGCTGAGCACCTTGCTTTTCTGAATGGTTTAATGTTTGTCAGCTCTATCCCTGAGCATCTTTCCTGGTGCATGATACCAGGAGCTCTGTGTAAGATGAAGAGCTGTTTGCTCCTGTGGGGTCAGGAGGCTCTGGAGAGCTGTTTACACACTGGAGGATCTCCTGAGGAGCACAGGCAAGTCCCAGCTCCACACCTCCCTCCCTGCCCCGGGCAGAGGGGACAGCCCAGCCCCAGCACAGATTTGTGTTTACGTTTGCCCTGGTTGCTGGGCCAGCCCTTGGACAGAACCAGGAGTCACTTGGACTCATGGTGGGAGTCACTGGCTTTTACTTTGTCTCAAAAGTGGGGTATAAATTTACTACTTGTTTTGACAAGGTTGTCATTACACAAACGCCTTTTTCCCTGTGCCTTACATGCTGCAAATCCTTTCTATTTCAGCATATTCCCACCACTGCATTCCCAGTGCCAAGGTCTATGCCTGCCAGGAGATGTGGTCTATTTGTGCTTTTGTTTCCAGTTAATTCTATTTTTTTCCTCATCAGCTCTTGAGAAATGCTGTGGCCTGTAGAGATAGAACACATTTTTGCATTTTCTCCATTGCGTGAAGGAGTTAGCTGCTAATAAAGCCAATTTCTTTATCAGATGCTGCTTGCAAAAATATTTGTAACACATGCTGGAACTAATTTTTTTATCAGTTATTTGCTTCATGTGGGGATTACAACGGGCTGTGCTTCATCTGATAACTTTTGCAGCTTATTAGATGTGAATTTACTAGCTGTGAACAGTTGAATAATATAAAACTCACAGAAGAAACGAGCTGCACCATCACTAGTGTAACAATATCTCTTAAATTAGCTCTGGCCAAAGTTCATATTTCACAATCCACTAAATAGCTTTCTTATGGATCATAAGATGAAGATACACTGAGTGAGGCAACTGAGTTTGTAATATCTTTGGGATAAGGTGAACACTTTCTAACAGATCATGACATTATCAAAGTGCTATTTGAAATTGGCTCCATATGCTGCAGCAATGCTGTGAGATTTCACCCAGAATTTCATTTTCAAATGTTTTCCATTCAAGTTCACTGAGGGTAAATTGGAAACACTTGGGTATATCCCACTTATGGACCTGTTAAGACGCACTTAATTTTAACGTGGATGTGCAGAGAGAGAGGAAGGAGAGGGGAGCTGTAGGATGGGGTGAGCAGGAATGACTCTATCTACTGGTGGCTTCAGAAAATCTGAACAGCTTGTGTTGGGTAGGGATTGCACAAGCACTGCTGTAAAACCCCCTCACCAGTGCATGACTTGGGTGAAGGATGAGATTTTGCTCTGAAGGGGGCAAGAGTCAGCCTTTGGCTCTGCCTGCTGCAGGTGGCAGCAGGCACCAAGAAAGAGCCAAGGCAGAGCTTCACTGGAGCTGTGCTGTGGCTGGCAGGCTCTGGACTGGCTGCAAACCTGCCCTGCCAATGCAGGATCTGCTCAGGAGGCACTTGCTCACTTTGCTTTGTCAGGCTCTGACAAAGAGTGGTGATCTCAGTATCATCTTTTTTTGTAATTGTTGGGTAAAGGATGCACCAGAAATTCCAACTGGGATTAATTATTTCCTTTCTTTAGAAGAAACTGTATGAGGGACTTTATTTTGCAAAGAAGGATTCAAATTTCTTATTTCACCAAGGAGAGGAGCTGAGGAAGGGACCAAACTGCTTCAGTGGCCACTGGTTCCAGAAATGAGGAATTCCCAAGAGCTTTGTTACACTTGTAGGCTGATAGCATTCCTTATGTGAACCTTCTGCACCTGCTAGGAATGGGTATAAAAAACGGGATTTGGTAGCAGTACTAAAGAGTCTTTTCAACTATTTGTATAAGATATTATGGAGTGCTTTAATTTAGATCCCAGGGGCTGGACTCGATGATCCTTTTGGGTCCCTTCCAATTCAGGATTCTATGGATCAAGATAATTAATTCAATTTAACAGGTTATTTGGAATAATGCCTGAAGGGGGAAAAGTGCAATTTTCTTAGTGCTAGTTCAGTTCTGCATTTACATTTATCTGTGGTATTTAATTATGGGCAGAAACACTGACTATTATTTGCATTAAGTATCTCAGTACCCGTCTGGTCTTATTAAATATATTTGATTTTTCTGGTGCTGATAGTTGTTTTTGTAGGTTAACCACATTCTCAAAACGTGTGGGTTTTTATCACACTATTTCTAGCAGGTTTTCAGTGCCAGACAGGACATCTTTTCCCTAAGGGGAAAATGCAGAAGAGAGCTAACTGGGAGATGGGATGCGACAGCTATCACAGCTCCACCACATCACCCAGCAGAAACCACGGCAGGGGAGGTGATTGCACAGCTTCTCCATGGCTGGAAGGGTATGGTTCTCATTTGGAAACTGCTATTCATCTAAAATCTCCAATTCTTCTGCCCTCAGCATGAGTGTTTCTGAGTTTTGCATCAGAGCCTGGAGTGGAGCCGCACACGTGCACACCTTTACATCTGGTGTTTTATGGATCGTTTGGAGGAGCTGTTACTAAGCAGCAGCTATATCAGGGCTCCATTTTATAAAGAGGAAGGGCTGTGTTACTCATTTTGTTTCCAAAAAATTCATTTGTTTTGCATTCCCAGAAGGTGCTTTCATTCTCCCAGAAAGGTCAAGCAGAAACATTGATGTAAGTCCTGTTTATGGCAATTTTGTTAGATTTCCAGCAACTGCAATGGAACATATTTATAACAAGTGTGTTTCTCTCTAGGGTGATACCATTAGTCAAAATATGCTTTCTCATATTTCCTCTACATAAACACAAATAAGTTTTAGGATTCAAACTCACTGGTCTTGAGGATTTCCACAACCACATCTCATTAGAGGTTCAGAAGGCTGCACTAGCTGTAGTTTCAATTTGGGATGAAAAGGTTTTGTTAGGAGAAAGAACTTCAACCAAACCAAAAGGGTGAAAAACAGCATAATATTCCATGTTTGGGCTGTGGTCCTGAACAACACAGCAAGCCTGAGAAGTCCAATGCTTTAAACATACAAGTTGAGATTTGATGTGCTGAGGATCCAGCTCTGGGATTTGTGTTGTTTCCATAGCAGTCAGCATCTCACAAACTTCCACTCAGTGTGCTCAGGATCCAGCTGTCATCTGTGGTGCAGAGCAGCCACTGCCTCTGTTCTCTCCATGTATCCCAAAATATGTGGGGTCCTAGAAGAAAATGGAAGGAAGCAAATTGTGCCCTGCTACAAATATCAGGAACAGACTTGACAAGTAAAACTGATGGCTGGGAAAGAGATCAGGGGCTGAGAAGATCAGAAGTTGTGACTGATATAACCATGGGGATAAAACAAGATCTATATCTCCACTTCCATCTCATTTTTTCACTCACAGGGCTTCTCTTTAAATAACCTGAGTGTTAATCTGGAAAGTGTCCAGACAAAGAGGTAAAAATCAGTCGAGCTGAAATGACATTTTAGATTTCAATATAATAACGAACTGGCCATGAATTAATTATTGAAAGCAAAGCCTTCTGTGATGCCTTAGGAGGATATGTCTGCAGTGTGTGTCAGCTGCTTTTTTCCATGTACATCTCAGTCTGAACAGAGCTTGGTACAGACACAAAAACTGATTTTATAGAAATTTTAGAACTCTGGTACCTTGAACTCTACATTTAAATGCGAATCTCACTGATGTACATGGGACAAAAGTGAATAAAACTGGAAAGTTCAAAACCTCTTTTTTTTTCTTCTCTTCCTGCTCCATTTGAAGAGCAGCTGTTTGAAATGCAGAGGCCCCCCTTCCTGGGGTCTACCAGCACAGGCATTAACTATTTTTTGGCAGCAATATCTCCATGTCCTAGGACCTCAGTGAGTTGAAACAGAATTTCAGGCCCAAGTTCCAAGGAACAGCATTAAGGGCGTTGTTATGTATCGCTATGTTAAAAAACACTAACTACAATTCAGCAGGAAAAAAGCTGGCAAAACCCTGCCTCCTTTGCTCTGCCAATATTTATGAGCACTCTGGGGGCTCATCGGCGCTGCGAGGGAAGAGCGAAGCGAGTGGTTAGATTATGTTCTGAATATTTGGGGCCAAAACTTGTTTTTTTCACACAGCATTTCAAGAAAAGTATTTTGTTTTTCCCACAGATTAGAATGGACAATTGACAATGAATTGCATTTTTCTCAGGGTCACCAGCCGTAATTCCCAGCACCCATCACATCCCTCCCAGTCACAGTTTAGAGGAGTTGGAGCTGGTGTAAAGCAAGAGAAAAGGGATGTGGGCTGTCAAAGGTGGGTTTAACCAGCAGCAGTCACTGCACTTATTGTATCTTTTTGTACATTGAAGGCTAAAAGTGACAATATCAGGTATTTGAAAGTGTCCTAGTTTTGTGTGAAACGGATTTATTGGAGATTCGTAACAATGAGAACAAAACATTCATCGCTGATGGACTCAGCTGTATTCCAATGAATAGAATTTGCTGAAGCTAAGACAGATCTCATGGCAGCTCAGAAGAGAGAAATCATGTCCTAGGAATAGAGAACAATTTAAATTACACAATACTCACCAAATCTTCCTTAGTATCTCATTAATGGAATAAGAATGGGAAAAAAAGTGATGGAGAAACAGAGGTGAAGAATTAAATAATGGTTTTGGGAATCACTTTCTGGGCAAGCAACTTTCACCAACTTTCTGACAGCTAAAAATAAGTTTAGAAATAAAGCCATGTGGATAACTTGGTCTTCTCTTCTGATTGCTTTAGTTGTACTTCATCAGTTGTGGATTTCTCTACCCCTCCAGCTTCTCTACCCCGAAGTCTCTATCAGACAATGAAAGAAAAGGAAATGTATTAGAACTGAAGGCAAAATAATAGTGAAGAAAATGGATGTTATCTCTAAAATGTAGTAAAATGAACAACTCATCCACTGGAATACTATGGACAGAGCAAAGCAGAGTCTGCTGAGGACAGTTGAGAAGGCACATTCTGAGATGATTCCCACTAGAAAATGTTTCTCTGTGTGCACCACAAGCGTGCTGGGGTCTGTCTGTCACTGCTGGGGTGGCTGAACATCGTGAAAGGAAAAACAGAGGGGAAGATTATCGTGATTGACAAGAGATTAAAGGATTAAACAATTATAACTTGGATAAATGACAATTAAGGATGAGAAAACTTTCTGAAAGTAATTGAAGTTGAGCTCTGAGAGGGAGCAAAAGTGCTCAGGGTTTTTCCCGGGGCTGCAGGTAGGAAACTGAGAAAAAGAACTTGGTAAAGCTGAGGGTAAACACTGAACTTTGGTGCAGTTGTTCTGGTAAAGGTGGTACAAACTCCATCAGCAAGTCCTTTGTATTTCAATGTTATAAATCTTTTTATGCTGTGGGGGATGATGTGTTACTGTCAGAAGTGCAAACCATATCTAACACTCTTAATAGATATTAATTATCTTCTGTGTGTCCTTGCTGCTCAGATAGGGCAGCAGAGGAAAAAGGTCATGGAATTAACAATTCATCAGCTATAATTTGTTTCTCTTTAGGAATATATCTTACACATGTAGTAGTAGATTCTTGTGGGCTTTTCCATATGTTTTCTGAGTCAGGAGTTAATATATTATAAATGAAAGCACTAAAAAATTGTTCACAGGACCAGCTAAACTTTTGTATATCTTGGATTCATAGCTTTAGACAGGCAAATATTTGAATAGATCTTTTTTCCAAAAAATCAACAATTCCAGTGTCCTAGCAACAGTTCCATAGTTGATTACAAATATCAGACTTCCCAGGGCATTGTGGAATTCATTCTAGCAATCCATTTTAATTAATTCTGTCTTCAAACTGATCACCAGACTGACACAGGTTCTGAAGCTTGGAAGAAACCTCAGATGTAAATGAGAGTGGAGCATCCTCCAGGAGATGGGCATGGATCTGTGAGAAAAGGAGTAAGAAAATCCATTGTCAGTAGTGATGGCACTAATTTTTAAAAAGTGCCTAAAGCCAAAGCTTATTTCTGTTTCATGCTAGTGGAGGAGTAGCAGGATGCTTGAGAGATTTCTTCAGCACTTATCATTGTACTGAAGGAATGGACACTGCTGCTCCAGGGGAGACCCTGCCTTGGGTAGTGCAAAACCTGAGAAATCAGCTCAGAAGGTTCAGTTTGTGTTTTAGTTTCAGAGGCTGAAAGGCAGTGAACTTGCTGGAGTCACACCAGCTCTGTCCCGTGGGGCATGGAGGGAGTTATCAGTGTGAAACCCTTTAAAGAAAAAACAAAACTCCAGTAAGATAAGGCAGAATTACATAAATAGAAAAAGACAGTTGCTTTTTCCATATGAATGATTCTGTAGGCAGGAGAATTTGAGTCAAATGCTGAAAATGCCTCTCTTGGTTCATTAAGGATGGGTCCTCCTCACCCTGATTAGTCCAAATGAGGGAGTCCTGTGCCAGGGATCCTTAGCAGGGGCTCATCAGCAGGACCATGGGGTTGGATTTCTGGTGTGTAGGCTCTTCCTCAGGCTCTGCCTGGTAAACCCAGTTCTGAGGTGCTTTCATCCACAGGGGTGCAGGTTCTCCTCACTGAAATACACTTATGTTTCATTATTTTGCAAAGGACAACCCTGCAAGGACCACAAGCAGTGTTTTCAAGTCTATACCTTGAGCAGAAATTCAAAGCCACGTCGTTCTTCCGATTTCCTTGAGATTTTTCCTCCTTCAGTGCCTGGGGGATAAAACCAGTAATTTGAAATTTGCATCCATATTATCTGCTGCCTTCCCCATCCATATGCACTATCTCCAAGAGCCCAGGGCAAAGATGCCATTATGCTCAGTCACTGCCCAGCCAGGTGCAGTCAGGAGATCTAACAATGTTAATAAAAGGGCTGATGAAGAACAAAAAATAAACAAACCTGCTATTGTGCCTGTAAGAATTGCTGCTACCAGGAAATTAAAAAATTACACGTGGCATATGCTGCCTGGCTGCACTCAGCACTGCTGTTCAACTCTGAAACAGGTACTGTCTGTTTCTGCCACCAGGTAAAAAGAAAACTAAGATTTGCAAAAAAAAAATCAGTTTACAAAACATGATGAAGTTACAAAAATATAATTTTATTCTCTGCATCTCTGAGACTGCATATTTATTTTCATGGCTTAAAACACAACTCTAAGAAATTCCATTGCTGTGTACATCTCATTCTTGAAAGGTCTTTTCCAATCTGAAATCTGTGATTCCAAGACTGTTTTAAGCACTGTAGCAGCCCAGGGATTGTCCCAGCATTCATCTCATCTCTTCCCTTGAGGGAGTCAAGTGCAACAAGGACTCCTTTGGCTGAAAAGATAGAGATTTAAGATATCACAGAGGAACCTCCCTGGATGTAGTTTCTCTCCACATCTCCTTCTCTAAGGGCACTATGAGGAAGGCCTTTTTCCTTCACAAAGGGAAAGGACCCCTCTATCAGGTCAGTAGAGTCAGTTAGTGCCAAATGCTGTGATCAATCCAATGTCAAATAGCAAATATCTGTGAGAAAAATTCAGGATTCACTTGGTGATCCCAGGAGAAGAGGAAGGATGAGTAAGACAGCTTGGCTCTAAGTCTGTAGAATGATATTTGTGTTAATGTTTTGCTTTTAAAAGGTGTGGAAAAAAAAATGTCGTCTGTCTTATTAGAAGGATGTTATTTAGGGTGCAAAATGAAGAATTTTGGAAATAGGAAATATCAGGTTTATGGTATTCCATGGCACTTTTTACCTAAATCTACCTTCTAAGTGCATTTGATCAGATATAAATCTTTGTGGAGTCTGTGAAGACAACAGCTGTAGGGAAATATTTCAATCGATATTTGGGCAAGGTTTATACACGTGACAAAACAAGATTATGGCTTTTCATCCCCAGATTTGTCTTTCTGAAGCTCTGCTGTCCCTGTGGAGAACGAGCAGCTCTGGAGCTGGATGTGGATTGGGATTGTGTGGACTCCAGCACCCTCTAATGGTGCCAGCGCTCCCTCTACGTCCCTAAATCCTTACAAATCCTTTCAAACAATGTAATAATGAGAACAATTCTACTGCAAATGGCCAATTTTTCACTCGGTGGCAGTTTTGTGCTATTTTAAACATCTTTAATTGCAATCTGTTCTGTCAAACACACTCCATATATCCTGCCCGTATTTCCACCTTAAATTAGGAGAAAATGTTCTAGTGGGGGATGGGAAAGAGGAGAAATAGGAGTGAGCAGATGCAGGTGATGACAAAGAGCAAACAACACCCCGTGTGCAGCTTGGCAGGGCTGCTACTGCTGGGTAGGACAAAAAAAAAGCTGAGAAACCTGAAGGGAAAAAGTCAATCCACTTTGGTTTAATATTAATGGGAGGTTAATTGTCCTAAATGTAACTATTGTCTGAGAGCTGAAGAGAAATCTTAAAACTGAATGTTGAAACAGAGCTCCACCTGCTTCATTAGGACTCTGCTGATTTACATGAGTATGTTCTAGCAGTTTCCTAATTTATTTTCTCCACTGCAAGGCAGGATCCACGGGTTTATGTGGATAAAGGAATGGTGGGACCATTGTGTCTGTGTGCACAAACTCCTGTGAAATGCAGGAGTCCCACTACAGTGCTGCAAAATCCTGCTGAAATAACAAAAAAGAGCTTTTCCTGGGGTTTCTGGGAAGGTGTTAATGTGTAAATGTGGCGGCTTATCCCACATAGTGGAGAGTTCTTAATGCTTATAACAAAAACACAAATTGCTTGTAGGTCAGTACCAATCCTCACTGCATGCTCTAGGAAAGCTCCTCTGCACGAGATGGGGTGCAGCATTTTTGATAGAAAGCCCAAATCTGATATGATAACATTTAGCATTTTAGAGTAGATTTATCTCCTTACCTACAAGTACAGCGTGTGATAGGCCAAGATGGGATTGAGATAGGGAGGGTTGCTGTGTTTTCCTACAATAAAGGACAAAAATGGGCCAGCCTTGGGGGCTCACAAGCTTTTTTAGCTCAGCAGGAGCTCAGGAGCCAGCCAGGGTTGGGTTTAGTTCCCATTTTAGCTCATGGATTATCAAATCTTGGATGTCTGTCACTGATAAGCAGGTCACACCTTTATTTTACATGCCCTTGCTTTAGAGTAGTTTGAAAAGTTGGCTCTGTCCAGGCTTTGGCTCCCTGCAGTTTGCAGGGGTTGTACCTGACTTTCCCCACAGCTCCAAGACTCAAGATTTGGAAATGAACAGTGGGGAAGCAAATTGTGCAACTTTGGTTTTCTGGATCAGAATATAATTTTGAAATTCAGACAGTAATCCAGGCATAGTTTCATATTCAGCACTGCAAAGACAAACTGCATTTTCCAGTTGTGTTTCTTTTACAGGACAAGACAACCGAGCATTTTCTAGTGATTTTTTTTAAAGCATTTTCTCACATGAAAGAGCATCTCAGTGAAATTGGTACACGTGGGGGTTTCTGTAATTGTAAAAACTGGCATTTCTTTCCTGATTTCTTCTGTTTCCTGATTTATTTTAGCTGTGTTTGGACCAATGCCAGGGCTGTCTTAGCTGCTGTCAGCCTTGCTGTGGTTTTTAGCTCCTGGGGATGACGTGTTCCCCGATGCCCAGAGTGTCTCTGCCACTGGTGAGTCACCATCATCTTCCTTTCTTTAAGCACCCAACAATTTGTTTTTCAAGAAGAACCAGTGATGATGAGCCTTATTTAAATCACCCTAAAGCTGCTGGTGCTTGGGGTTTTTTTTGCAGTCTGTGTCAGTAGTTTCCAATGGTGTAGCTACACCGTGGGTGCAATCACAGCTTCCTGAACCCTGCAGAAGCCTCCCTGTTTAAAGTTGTGTGAAATGTGTCTCAGCAGGAAATTGCTCAAGGTCAGGGTTAAATTTAAAATAGTGATGTTATTTAGGATAATCCCACTTTTGTAGTTTCTGTGGAGTCCAACCAGGCTGCACATCCAGAGAGGTTTTTCTCTACTTTTACAATTGGCTTAAGGTCAATTTAGATTTAATATTTATTTTGAATAACACCTGCAGTGTTGATTTCTGGGAAGGACACAAGGTGTCTTATCCCACTTATATCTCACTCCAGCTTTTTCAAATGGGGAGCTACCAGCAGAACCACAAGTGCAGAAATACATCCTAAGAATCACAAGATTTAAGGTCACCTGATTGCTTTGTTTTAAAGAGCTGTATTTGGGAATCTTACCCCAGATGAGCTCATGTTTATATAACTAAGTCTCCCCTGGAAGCCCAGGAAACAAAAGAATTTTGAGAATAATCATGTGGACCTTAGAGCACATAGAAAAACTGGTCGTTGAACCAAAGAAAAAGTCTTAACTTTATTTGCAGAGGCTTTATCTGACACAGTCTGCTCACTTTTGCATGTTCCTTTGCTGTCTGTTGGGAAGGTGCCTTCCTGCTTTACAGGAATATGAAGGGAAAGTTGTCCCATGGATGTGCTGTTCATCCCATCTATCTCAAGAGAGGAGATTCTGTGATTTGCTTCAGGGAGTGATTTAACTCACAAGAGTGATTTTTAAATCTTACTGATTATAAAATATATTGCTGGCAAAAATATTCCTTCTCAGCACTTACAGTGGAGCAAGAAGGGAAAGCAGGGGGCACTCACATCTTCTCCTAAATCCTCAACACTTTGAGTGTATGAGTCCTAAATCCCCTTCCTCAATCTCTTGAGAGGAGGTTTTTCATATGTATATATATATAGAAATAAATACAATCTTAATATAATGTAATATAAAAATAAATATATATTTCTAGTTTAGGGTTACATGCAGCTCAAGCCAACCTATGTTATCCTATCTGCAAAGCACTTTTGCTACAGCTACCCAAAATCTTGGTTAAGTTCAACCACACACAGAAAATTAAAACAAGTGCCAAAGCGTTCAGGTTTTATATTAAAGAAAGAATTTAGTAGCCTGGAGAAGAGGATAATACTGATTTTATAGCCTGAGCAGGGTAGAGAAGACGTTAAGACAGTTGTCAGCTCAGTAGTGAACATATTTTTTGTCAAAAACAGGGGTTGTAGATCATACCCATCTTAAAATATTGAGAGAACTAAATATGGAATTACAGATGTAGTCTGAGGATTTGTGGATGATGTCTTAATTTGTTTATCTGGGCAGGAGAATGGCAAATGTGGTGCCAAAAAGAGAAAAGGGTTGGTAGAGGCAGCACAGCTCTGAGTGTGGTCCCAATAAGGGAAGTTTTAGAACAAATTCTGAGGGGGAAAAAACCTTGCTGAACAAAAAGGTGGCCAGAAAGTGTCACAAATTACACCAGGGGTTTGTCAGAAGAACATTCTGTCAGATAAGTCATTCTCTTGTTGAGAAAACGAGTGTCATTGCCAGATGTGATAGAGTGATCGCCTGCAGCTGCAACTCAGATCACTGAGAGAGGGAATGAGGAAATTCCTGCTGGAATTTAGAGGGGGTTGTGGGGAAGTCTGGGGCGGGGGGATTATTTTTGTTTTCTTTTTTGTACATTAAAAACCATGTTGGAGAGGGCGCTCCTTTTGTCCCACGAGTTGTCTGGAATCTGATCCTCCCCTGGATTTTCCATAGCAATAAGCGAATATTGCATATATATTCACTTGTATATGTGTGTTTGTAAACATATATATATATTTACATACTCCTAGGTGTGTGCTGAGGGGATTGGAGAGCAATGCCAAGCTTTTGTCTGTGCAGAGGACAGGACAGTGCTACGAGATCCCGGGATGGCTCAGGATTTACCACGTTGGGTCCATCTGGTGCCACCTCCCTGCTCCAGCAGAGCCATCCCAGAGCACAGGGCACAGGATTGTGTCCAGACAGCTCCGGAATGTCCCCAGGGAGGAGATTCCAGCCCCTCTCTGGTCTCTGTTCAGGGCTGGGCACTGCCCAGAGAAGCTCGCTCTCATGTCCAGCTGAAACTTTCTGAGCATCAGCTTCTGCCCGTGCCTTTGGTGCTGTTGCTGGGCTCCGGGAGCGGAGCCTGGTGCACCCTCTGACACCTCC